ATCGTGGGGCACTGCGACGGCAGCTGCTGCTGCAGCCAGTGCGGCGCGAAATAAAACAAATGTCATTATTCGTACATTCTTATCATACATTTTATCCCTTAGTGTTACATGTATTTACAGATTTAAAGAAAAATGGTACAATAATAAACGACTCATACAGATTTCGGATTCATTGACAACTTGTTAGACATCGTAGGCATAATTGCGCCGACATGTGTCAGGCGATTCGGGGTTAATGTTATACGTAAATATATTTTCATAAAATAGTGTAGAATAAGGTATACTAAATTTAATATATCGTGGACAGCTAACGCCACAAGGTACGTGTAAAAATATATTTGTCTCAGGTTTTTAATAGAGAATGCGAGGGATAACAATAGGTTCGACAGTCACGAAGAAATTTAATAAAATGTGTTATAAAATTAACCCCGATTCATCGCACAAAACAGTCGGCGAGATGTTGCATTTACATAAATTATATTTTATTCATACAATTATACTTTGGTAGAATGCAATAAACATTGCACAGTATATAAAGTTACTCTTGATTACAAACGTTAATAATAGAACTCTTCATTTTTCTTTAAAATGGATAATAATAATTAATTCCTTGTTTTTTTTTATAACCGGGTTTCGCAAAGCCAATAAAATCTAATGAATACAAAAAGCACCAAAATTATCTAAATTTAACCTTTATTTTATTCAGGTGGGATGACATAAAACATACATTTATATGTTAGCACGCAGACATTGTCATCAGTGAAGCAAATAGTCGCAAAATGCCTTTAGACAGCATTTCCGAAATTATTTCAATACAATGGACAGTGAATATAAATAACTCGATAAAAATAACATAACACTTACATCTAGTATTGCATAAGAATACACAAAACGAACATCTCTTTTAAATAGCCACAAAAAAGGACATGAAAAATTTCGGCTAAAGTACACCTCTATGCTTGATTTGAGGGACTGGCGATTTGCAATATTAGCATATTTACATAATAAATATCATTGATTTATTTAAATGGCTTTACATAATAATTTCAAGCATACAAGGTCACCTTAGCCTATTGGAATTTTTAATACAAATTACATTTCTTTGAGATTCAATTTTTATCCAATTTCACTTTGAACCATTATCATTTCGATACTCTATTCAATAGATTGATGAAGCAAATTAAAAAACAATTATAAAAGATATCTACATTGTAAAATAGCACACAACCTTAAAGTTGGCTAACGCAACCCCCTCCCCTGGATACCCCAATTATGACTAATCACACCCCTACACTAACACCAAGTGCACGTAACAAATCCTATCACATTTACGCAGATTTGCTAAAAAAACTCACGAAACATTTTCAAAATACATCAGACTTTAGTGCTAAAATCGTAAAGGAATGAATCACTTACTAATATCATGTAAAACTATTCCTTTAACTTGAAAAAACTGGTAAAGAATAGGTCTATATTGTGCTGAAATTTGAACCTTATCGAAAAATACTAGAGCTCATTTTTGATTGAACAGTTGAAATATGTGCAAATTGCTAAACTCGATTTAACAATTGATCAGTCGGAGTATCTGTTTAAATAATTGAATAATATACATATTTGAAATGTTGACTAGACAGTACCAAAGTACCGACATACGGTCACGTTAGATGTAACTTTGACAAGGCGTTGGAAATACGTCGATGTACTCGGGAACAACTTTTAGACGAAAACTACACATTCACAACGGCTAGCGATACAAAAATAAACCATACAACAGTCGGAAACATATCGCCAAAAGTTAATCTAGAGTACACAACGTACACATCGAATATATTCTTATATAAAACACTTTTTTTTAAATTAGATTTTAAGCGAGGAAGTGTCTTTAAATATTTATTATCAAAATAATTTAGTACTTACATGAAGTTTTAATTATTTAATACACATATAAAATACACATGCATCTTCACAGCGCATTCTCATATAATGTACAGATAAACTTATTATGTCCACCATTTGGCTGATTCACTTTTACTGCAACAATGGAAACGCAACTGTTAAAATAATGTTTGGTAAAGGACGTTAAACGTGTTCGTGAACGTATATCTAGACATAGACAAGTACATACTAGTGCGCGTCATGTTACGTGTTTGTCGTTAATAAGGCGCTTATCACGAAAATTCAAAAATTATACAAATTTTGTGAATGACGTTACGAAAACGTTTTAGCAACTATCATACCAAATAATCGCGATAGCCATCTTGTGTGTGTCCTGTTAGATGTTGTGCATGCATCATGTTACCTAGTGTGCAGGCGTCATGTTATTCGGTGTTGATCTTCACGTTAGCTGGTGTGCGTGTGTAATGTATTGTGCATGCGTCAAATTATCTGGTATTGGTCTGTGACGTTAGTTGGTGT